ATGTTTTTTTTTTAATGGGACCCAAAAAGAACATAGAACAAAAACAAGAAAGGGGATCATCCCGCGGGCCCTGTTGGCCCTACGGGCGGGTTTCCACTGCCTTCTGCGTGTTTTTCGTTCTTATGTTCTACATGCTCAAGGGAAAGGACATAGGATTCCAACCTTTGTACCTATTTTTAAACTTTTAGTCCCTCTAAAAAAACAAACCATTTCGACAAAAAGATTTTCAACCTACATTTGGTAGCTACCAAACCAAAATTTACTTTTAGTTTCAAAAAACTAGGCCCCGCCCCAAGTCTGTCAGGGGAGCCCCTTTTAAAAAAAAAACAAAATTAAATGAAAAAACCTACAATGAAAACACCCGGGTTTTTCCCAAGGACGAAGCCAAAAACCTGTTTCATTGGTCCATCCCCGCCCCTATTCCCCCCCCCCCCAAAACCCCAACCACAACCCCAAAACCACCCCAAAACCCCCCCCACCCCCCCCCCCCCACACACCCAAAACCCCCAACACACACACACAACACACACACACGGGGCCGGAGCTCGGACTCGACCCCCCCCAAACCCCAATAGGTGAGACAAACACCGCACGCGCGCGCCCCGCCCCCTGAAAACCAACATTAGCGATCAGTAAGACCTGAAGGAAGCAAGCAAGAAAACCCTTTTTTTAAAAAATTCTTGCAGAATGTCAAAAACCAAAATAATTTCTTTTGTAAACTATACTGATTATTAATAGTATATATTTATATATATATATATATATATATATATAATTTTATATATTATATAAAAATATATATATATATATATAATATTTTTATATATATTTTTTTTAAATTTCAGTAGCTAGGAAGGTTTTTTTTTTTTTTACATTTTCATGTAATATGTCTAATTGCAAAATCTTTTCGTTTTAAATCAAAATGGCCTTTAATAAGGTCCTTTTTTTTTTTCTTTTCCTCGATGGGTGTTTTGTTTGTTTAGGAAAAAAAATCGTTGGTAGTTGTAATGATTTAACCACCCCAAAACCCTGGGGTGC